TACGTGCCAAGCTCCAATCAGCATCAGTCTTTTGCAGCTCTGCCAGACGTCGCAGGGTGCGACGGAGGCGACGCTCCAACACAGTCTGAAGTCTTTCGACCTTAGTGGGCGCTGTGGCAACACATGTGGGACCAGGAACTGTCGTGCGTGAACGACCTACCGAATGGGGTTGCAAAAGAGACTCGGCATGGTCACTTAACAAATTCCAAGCACGCTGAACATCCTGCTGCGCTAACAACAAATCAAACCGTTCAAGAGGAAAAGAAGCATCCCACCGCTCTTGCTCGATGGGTTCTTTTGCCTTTAAGGTCTTAGGAGGAGGGACTTTGAAACAAGGCTCCAAACCGGCAACCGCAAAATCATACATGACTGCGCAGTGGTCAGCAATCCCTGCGGACTGGCTTCTGGCGCAAGGGACAAGACCTATAGAGTGTAAAGCAAAGTCAATATGCCGACCTTTGTCGTGAGTCGGAATGGCTAGGGTTTCAATGCCAGCCACATCATCGGCCATATGCAAACACCCACTGCGAAGAACTGAACACACAGGCTCTTCTTCAGCGGTGCAGTTCCAGTCACCTATGAAGATGCAATCTTCACCGCTGACAGCGATCGCCTCAAAGAGACTCTTACCTAAGTTCCGGGCTTGCATCTTATCCGAAGCATGCAAATGAAGGTTGACGCACAAAAAAGGCCGTGAACCAGGCCTGTGCACTCTCATGATTTGCCACCTGCCTTGTTGTGCCCGGAGAACACAGGAGGGGTCAGGTAACACATATTTGTCAACAGGCCATTTGCTAAGTATGGCAACACCGGCAGTAGGTGCTCCCGCATTGTTCATAGCACAAGGGCTAGCGAAAAATTGCCAACCACTGCGCTTGGCTGCGTGAGACGCGGCCAGCAAGTTATCTTCAGAAAGTCTGACTTCCTGCAGACACAAAATATCGACTGACAAGCTGTCAGCCAGTTGCAACACTTCGGGCATTTTGCCCTTGAGAGAACGCACATTGAGTGTGGCGATTCGCAAGGCACCATCATGCTTGGGACATCGTTGTCCCCCATTGGCAGCTTCAAGTACAGTCATGGGGTTGAGCTGCTAGTCGCCTTCCCAGTGAGCAAATCAGTCAGCTCACTTAACGCTTTCAAGCGTTTGCCTTTGGCTCCCTTTGCGTTTTCATCGACCTGTCGCAAGACCCGCTCACGCGCAGGGGACCAAACCGCTGCTGAACTGCAGTTGAACTTATTCAAATGCTTCTTTGTGGCAGACAGGCGACGGCAGCGAGTGCAGAACAAAGCGGCCTGCTTGCGTTTGCCTGGCGTCTGGACCTGGACCACATTGTGGGCTCTTGGGACCAGCTCATCCACATTGGCAGGAGGAGAAATCTTCGAAACCACCTGCAAGGTTGCGGTGTGCTCCTGCGAACCTACACTGAGCTTATCAGCAAACTTTTGCAAACTAGCAATCAGCTGCTTTCGCTTCGGACCTCCTTTGAAGGAGGCATCGCATCTCACGCTTGAAAGCTTCTTGACGGAGCTTGCCAAGGCCTTACACTTCTTACAAAAAAGCTTGTTGTGGAATCGACGCACAGCTTTGCCTTTGCCGACATGTGGGAGCTGGAGGATCTCGCAATCGTGCTCTCCCTGCTCACCGGCCTTCAAATCAACCATTCTTCTTGCCAGACCTGCAGCAGTCTTGGCGATGGTCGCCTTTCGTGCATTGGCACTGCTGCCTCGGGCACGCACGAAACGCTGGCGTTTGGCCCTGGGGTGGCATCTATCACGGTGAGCCAAACGCATTCTGTAATGCATATCAACATCGCTGACAGTCTTTGGGACACCCGAAGCGCACAGAGGGCATTTCCAAGAGCAAAGGTCGGGATCCCATGGGATCAGGTCAGCGACTCTGTGTCGGTTGTAGAAATTCTTCTTCTCAGCATGCCAAGTCACCACATGGTTCCTACGGATTTTGCTCCAATTCTTATGGAGACCAGTTCTGAATCCACATTCAGGGCAAACCCAATCTTGCGGCTGATTCTTGTCCCTGGCGGACGTAACTGGTGGAGGATCCGGCATGTCATCACGATCAGCAAGATCAACCTCATCAAGACAACGGCTGCTGCTCACAGACTTTGCTGACACCTGGGTGTTCCGCTGAGCACTGAGAACAGAGGGCACCGGGAGGTCAGGCAAGGCAGACTTTCTGGTACGCCCGCCAAAACTTGGAGGGGGCGGCAACGCAGAGGACCTCGTGCGCCCAGATGCAGAAGTCGAAACTTTGCTGGAGGTCGCGCCTCCCCGCCCGCCTTGCAAAGGACCATTGCAAACATTTTTGCGGACATCATCGGGAACCGGACCTTTGAGCCACTCGTAATGGTTATCCTCATACCACAAAGAGAGATAACCATTGGCACAAGACGTATTGTATCCCTCAACATGGGACTGCAAGACAGGACCAAAAACGTAAATGGCTTTGTCATAGTGCGCCGCGGCGGCGGCGATCTCCAAACAGCCCGCCCAAGCGCCAGGCTTATTGAGGAGCTTGAGGTAGGCGTCAAAACTGTCACAAGACTTGCCGTCAGGCCCCAAAGCGTCCCACCAAGGCTGGTAGCGGTCTGAGTGACGTCGCAAATGGGTCACAATTGCAGCACGCACAGTTCGGCCATGCTTCGGCTTGTTCGGACTCAAAGCCTGACCGATGGCTTCAAACAGACAATTCCCTTGCCCAGCATTCTTCACACGACTCATACCACTCGGCACTGGTCGCTTAAGAACTTTGGACCTGGGCGCACAATCATCGCCCTTGTTGGGCGAACCGGCTGCTCGCTTTCCTGCAGCGCCCTCACGGGGTGAAGTCGCTTCTGCAGGTTCTCTGGTATCCATAGATGAATCCGGTTGGCTTGCATCTAGCTGGGTTTCAGCAACCTCTTCAACTTTTTGCTTCTTCTTCACCGGTGAAGCAACATAGAAGGAAGTTCTCACCGATTTGCCATGGGTATCTGTCTCGGACGGGAAGGCATCAGGAGCAAAAGACAGGCCACTACCAGACTTCAGGGGCTTGCGCTCACTCCGGTGATGCTTGGCAGGGTTGAAAGCTGTTGCAATCATGGGGCTTCCTTCGAAACGAATTTCAACAAAATCAACATCATTCTCACAGGAGGCTGTTAGAAAAAGCGTTGCTTTTCTGCCATAAGACTTGCGACTCGTCAGCTGCAAGTTGGACAGGCCAGCTGCCTGAAGTTCTGCGAAGACTGGCTCGTGGCTCCAATCACTTGGAACCCCAGTGACCCTCCATGTTTTGGTACGGGTCTTGCTTCTTGTCTCAGATCCCCGAGGCACACGAACACCGAGGCTTTTCCAACCTCGGGCAACTCCAAGGTTCCCAGCCTCTGCATGTACTCGGTTTGCATACTGAGGTCCCGGCTCTTCGGGGTTCCTTTTAACCCACTTGACTTCACAAGCAGGCACATCAGGCTGATCCCAGCGCAAAGGCTCGATAAACCAAGACTCTTTACCTGAGAGGGAAAGCATGGAGTTGACCGCTGTGTGCTCCACACGAACCATAGCAGTGACCAACGCTTTTCCACCACCCTTTGAGGATTCCAATTGCCATCCCCAAGTGTCTCTGACTTTGCGCTGCATTACAGCAGGCAAGTTGGAATGCAACCACTTGTGCGCAGCATGTGATGAGTGCTCAAGGATGGCCTTCCACTTGCTTTCATCGTGGTAGCGTGCCTCAGTGGCGAGTCGAAGCACGACTGTTTTGACCATCTCCGGGGTAGATTCGATGCGTCGAATTGTTCTCTTCAAGGACGGGCAATTGGAACCAAGCTTCACGACGTGTGCCATTCTCGGTGTCACTTTGCCTTGCCTCTTGCCTGGCACCTGGATGATTTCACCATCTTGCTTTGGTGTGTCACCCTTTGTTGCCAACATGATTGCGGTGATACCAAGTTCATGACTGGCATCCTCAAATCCAGATAGCAGAGTACGAAGTTCGTCCAGTTCGCTATCATTCTGCACAAAGGACACTGCCTGAAGTTTGGCAGGGCTCTTTTCACAAATCCTATGCGTGATTTCATCAATGGACAAAATGCTGGCGTCCCAATCTGAAGGCCTCAGTTGCCATACCGGTTGGAAAACCTGCTTCTCACCTGCAGCTCCTGCAACTTGCGCAAATGTGCGACCCGCAGGATGTGGGTCGGTCGACCCTTTGTCTGGCTTAGATGGCGCAGCTTTGTCAAGCTGCTGTTTCGAATCGGCAAAAGTCCTTTCAGAAAATGGCTGCACAGCATGGGAGGGCGGAGCAAGCACACGCTTGGACTTTCTTTTCTTGCGCCTCTTTTTGGTCGGTGTGTTAGTCCCTCCCTTCTTGGAAGAACCGTTCATCACAGCACCTAACTTTTGCAACACGTCTTGCAAATCAAAACTGCCGCTGTTAACCAAAGCTAAAACCTGCTGCAAAAGCATGAGCAGTGGAGCAAGCTGAGACAAATCAAAACCCGCAACTGGATCTGCTCGCACTTCGCTCTCTTTTCTCTTTCGCGCAGTGGTGCGCGACCCACCTGCCCCGTTTCCACATAGGGCATGCTGCAACTTGTTCCTTTGAAGGGAAGTCAAGGCCCAATCATAGCAGCATCTCTTCGTTGCACCTTTCGCCATGTCACGATGACATCCCGCGGCCACCAAGGAAGACTCCAGGGGGTAGTGCACAAAGCCGCCAAATGAACAAATGCTCACAGCATGAAACACAACATGAGTCCAGAGCTGGTCTGACGAACCCTGTGTTCCCTGAAGACTCTTCACTTTCAAAATCTGCAACGTTTCTATTATATATATATATATATTATTGGCATATATATAACTGTAACCCTTTTGGCTTCGGGTCACTGAACAACGACTCGAAGTTGCCTCTCATGGAGCGGCACCGCGCTGCGGCACCGCACTTGGTGCCACCCACAACTTCGTGACCGTTACCGCTCGTGGGTCAACCGCGTTTTGCTCGCCTAATGGACCGGCTCCTGAGCATCGATGTGAGGTACTGCGCCACCAGGGCAGTCTCCATCAGTGGCACGTCGCAGCTCCTGAGTGGCGGGGACCCGAATGACCGGGGGCCGACCCGGAGTCGTGTGTGGGGTGCTTAAAGGAACCCCAAGGAGGAGGAGGAGGAGGAGGAGTGGTTCTGTTTTTGACAAAACCATGGGCTGAGAGCTGGCCCATATTCAAATAACACACTCTCTTTATACGTTTGCTGGCCTCTTGATGGAAAGAAACAGTCTCGTTGCCCGCAAATGTCCATCACCTGTGGCCAAATAAAAGTGACCAGAGTCCAGAGGACATGGGAGAGAAACTTCTCTGGCCACAAAATGACTTCCTCCCCGTTGCATGGCACCAAGTTGGCCCAAGGCACCACCGCCACCGCCGCCACCGCCGCCACCATCGCCACCGCCACCATTACAACAACCCCACTGCCACCACAACCACAACCACACTGATGCCAATCGCAACACCAACCCAAACGCAGTCGGAACACTGGGTCATGCTGCTCCCACTGTTGGCCTGCTGGCCCGCTGTTGGGCGTAAGCCCTTTATATCCAGGAAAGTCACTCAAGTTCATTCACCCAGGCCAAGGCTTCTGTTCTGGTTCTGACCCTGTCCCCAAAACTGAGATCAAACCCAACTCCCTGTGATCCACTAGGTCACTAGCTGCATCCACTGCACAAACTAGGTGGACCACTCGAGAAACTGGAAAAAAGACACACTTAACAAACCTGCGCTTCCAAAGGAACCAACAGAGGTTGAAGAACCCTATAGGCTATTCCATATAGGTACCCTGTTGGAATGGTCTTTACAGTGTTTTGAGATGTTTTGAGTACCCAATGCATGTGACCTTCCGAACTTTCCTCCGTTCCAGCTCCGTTCCAGCTTGTGAACCAGGACTTCGAGCTCCCCCCCGCTCACCCATGAGACCTGGGGCGCCCTGGAAATGGTTGGACGTCGCAAAAAAAAAAAGCCAAACCTGTTCGCCAAAGATCTGATGAAGGATCTCTTCCGCCTTCTTCATGGTCTCTCGGAACCTCGGGTCGTGGACCCAGCGCACCCGGTTCGGCGTTTGAGACGAACCGGCGCAGGTTGGCAGGTTGGGCAAGTCTTATGACAAGGCTTCAAACATCTTCAAAGCCAAAGCAACCAAAGTCCAAAGTCCACCGCTCCCAGCGTCGGTTTCTTTCTAATCCTCAGAATCCTAGCTTATCAGCTCCGACGTCTTCGGCTGGGCAACATTTGGATCGTATTCAGCTTCTTGGACTTCCCGGACAAACACAATCGCAGCTCTGCGTAGTGCAACGAGCTGTCCTCGCAGCTTGGGATGGTCGGACCGCGTCGGGACCGGACGGACCCCACGAGGTGGAGCGCAGGGACTCCGTCGAACGAATCCGTCGGGGGTCAAAACGTCGGATGTCTTCATGTTTGATTAGAACAGGATGGAATCCAGGGAACAAAGCCAGGCCTCCCTGAGAACTTGAACAAATCCATCACCCGATTTACACTGTGATGGCAGGGGGACATATTTATCCACGGTTGTTCCCTTTTCGTAATGATGCCAAATGCAAAAAATCCAGTTCCGTGGGCAAGATATTTCAACCAGCTTGGTTTGGTGGTTTGCAATTGTTCTTAGACATTCTTAGACTGTTTCGAAGAACTTGCTTTGGTGGGTGTTTGGATGTCTTTTGCAGACTCCTTGCAGGCGCCACGCCCCGTTCACTCTGCCGGGTCCCCAAAGGCTCAAAACGGAGCCACCTGGACCGTCCTGGACCTGAAGAGGGTCTTTTGGTGTCACTAACCCAGGGCTCCAACCATATCCTCGATGCTTAGACCCCCTGGCACCTCACCCCACACCATGTTCGAAACGGAGGTAGGCCAGGAGCCCTAGGGCTAGTGGCTACCTTGCAACGTCTGCTCTTTTTTGTGCGTGTACATGCATGCCTCTCAAGAAGTGTCTCTTGAATGGCCCCTTTGAAGGTTAAGGGGTGTCCATCGGCCAATGCTTGTGGGTCCACGACATCGTAGACATTCTCGTCGCAAGAACACCTGTGAACTGAACATGCAAAACGACGACCCAGCCATGGCCGGGTTTGGCAACACATCGCTTCCACACCAGGCACGATCTCGGTTCTCAGTCCTTCAGCTGCAGCTGAAACTTCAGCGCCATGTAATACTCCCCCAGGGCCGTGGGAATCCGAAAGCGATTCCGCACCTGCACAGAAGCTTCTTCCAGGTGGGGATCCCAGACTCCGGCAAGAAATATGAATGTTCGCCCATTGGTTGGGGCAAAAACAGAACTGGCCTCCATGCAGAGGCTATACGAAACGGTGGATCCTATTATACTTCGCTCCGGTGGCACACTTTCCGCGCGGGCGCCGAAGGGTACAGAGCACCATTCCGCCGCAAAAACCCACCTGCCAGAGGAAAAGCCGCTGTGCGCGCTTCAGCAGCTCTTGGAGGGATTCCCAGAGGTGCTGAGCAGTGGGGAACTCCAAGTAGACCAAGGACCTCCACGTCTAAACGTCTTGGGCGATAGGGGATGGTTAGTTGAAGGCTTTGAAGGTGGGTTGTGGTGAAATTTCAGGTGAAAAAACGACCTTCCACTCACGGAACATGGGTAACATGTTGGTTGGGATAGCTATAGCTGATGCTAGCTGTAACATGCTGTAATGGCATTGGATGTTGAGCTCTAGGAAGCCGCAGCTTGTTTTTCTTCGGGATGTTCTACTGAGTGTAGGAACTTTCGAGCCTCCAAAGCACACCTAAGCAGAACAAAACCTTGGGTACATGTGGTATTCTATCCTTTGTGAAATAAAGATCCAACACCTTTATCTCTTCCTCCACTATCCCGTCCACTGCCTCACATCCACTGCCTCACAAGAAGAAAAATTGCCACGTCGTCCGTTCGCACACTTCCTGTATTTTCAAACCAGGTGACACATTCGTGCGGCGATCGTGTTGATTGAAGTACTTGTACTTGTCCAGGTCAATGAGCTGCGAACTGGACATGATGCCTGCAGTTTTTTCCATGTCACGTCGTTTGTGGATGTGGGGTAGGGCCCAGTAAATGGCCTACAGGGTTGGTTTTCGGGTCTTTTGTTAAACACCTTGGATCTGAAAATTCATCAAAATAGTCTACCAAGTCGGGTTTGCGAGCTCTTTTCCCTCCTTCCAAGAAGGACCTCCTTTTGGGCGACATGAACTGCATGCTTTGGAGGTTTTGAGGTGTTGGAACAGTCGGCTACCGCACCGCTCCATGGATGTTGGAAGAGTTTGGCCCTCCATTATTCCGTGACAGTCAGCCGTTGATGACGACCCATGCTACCACAGTGTGTCGGCCGTGACAATCAGCCTGTTGCTGAGGATCGCTATCATAAAAGCCTGCTAAACCCCCAAAGATCATCGCTGATCCAAACACGACTCGCCAAGATTGCGATGGAATGAGATGAGGACGTTTTGGGTTGCTTTCTTCGTGTATCTTCGTGTGGTGTTGTCAATCAGAAGGACCTTGGAACGGTTGAATCATGTCGACCGAAGGTGACCCCGGACGACTCTGTGTACTTCTCGCCCTCTCAATCTCTCGTGACCGTCGCGCCTGCATCAATGGCCTGCGCCTGACTGATTTGGCGGGGCAAAGGAGAGACAGCCTCCCCTGACTGCCGAGGATTTGGAGGGTTCGTACTGGCCTATATCCCATTCCCTGGAAAAAGTGGATGATGGTTAGTACAGGTAATTGTTTACCGACTGTTACAGGTGATGGGACACCCCCAAGCTCCAACTGCCTTCTCATCCTTCTCAATTTCCAGAATTTGTTGGTGGGATTCTGTGACTGACGTGCAAACGCAGAAAATCGGTCGACCGAGTCGAGGTCCAGCTGCAAAACTACAACAGTCTTGGCAATGAGATGCCAACAAAGGTTAAGTGATCTGAACTAAAACCCGTAACCAGGGGTACCGAACTAGGATAGTCTAGTTCGGGTTCTTCAACCTCTGCTGGTGGGGCATGCTCTTCTGTTTTCGTTCCGTCCAGCATTTCTGGAGTACAAGAACTTCGTAGGCTCAGCCTCTGGCTTGCAGGGCGACAGCGCTTTCGGCTCCCCGTTTACGAAACGGACAACGAAGTGACAATTGTTTTTGTTTTACTAGGTATCAACCTCATGTAGGGATCTTGTGTTTTTCTTAGCTCATACTCATACTCTCAGGTCTTTTTGAGGATCTTTGAGGCTTGCTGGCCGACTCCATACTATCAACCTATCAAACATAAATGGACATTGTTGCATAATCAGTGACTATCAAGCATTAATTGAATAAATATTATATTATCATGATATCATGATATTATATACTGCATAGATCGACATTGTTGCGGAAGCAACTGTTTTCTGTCTCGTGGATCAGTTGTCAACACATCAACTTGGTTGTCGCAACATGCTTTATCAGGCATCCCGAATAAATCCGATCCCGTCATGGACTGCCTGCCAGGAGCCACAACATTGAGAATCCTTGCTTCAACCAAACAAGCCTTGCAATGTATTAGATACCCTATAGAAGTCCAGAAGTCCAAGACCTATTATGGTTGATGTAGCTTTGCGGTGTATAATCCTTAGCAAAACCATGGATGTTCGGTAAAGGCTATTAAAGGTCGACTTCTAGGGGTATAATTTCCAGGAGCCTGGAAAATTCCCCTCATTCCTATCCTACATTCCCACTCAGTCAGACTATCCCTAAGATCAATATCAGTTCTGCTTCTGCACCAACTTTCTAGTATCCCTTCAAGTTCTCTTGCGTGGCAATCCAAATGAATAAACTTTATCCAGCCCAACAATGCACAAACATAGAACGACCCAGCAAACTAAGCCTACAGCTGCTCACCCATCAACACCTCCACTCAGCAGCTCTCTATCAGCCTGGTTGTCCTGCAGGAAATCCGCCAGCCCTTTCGAGAGCACACTAGGTGGCGTTTCTGGTGCGAGCTCCTGCGTGCACCACCTGCCATGCGCAGGTGTGCGGGAAGCAGAAGAGACACGTAGACCATCGCTGGTGGGAAAGCAGCACAGCAACCAAATTCCAATTTCTTTACGGAGTGTCCAGGCAGAGTGTCCAGGTGACATCCAATGTCCTGCGTTGCATTCCACGCGGCCATGCTTAATTAAACGGTGTATTCATCTCGGTCAGATCAGCAAACCCACACGGCCGATGTCCCATTTGTAAGATCTTTTTTGGAGGTCTGACGACCAGCCATAGGAGGCCTGACGACCAGCCGTTCACGACCAGAGCACCCAGCCGTCTCGAAAAAAAACAAAAAAGACCGTCTTGATGATCCAGCAGTCACGTGAGCTCCGGGGTGCCGGTCCCGAACAGAAGGAGTTGGGTACTGAAACCGTTAGCACCCCCACCCGACCTGTGATGCCTGGATGGTCCGAGTTCGGTGTCCAAACACTCGATGTGTTGAACCCGGTCCCGAGGTCTTCGCCCAATTGAAAGAAAGAGGCCAACATGTTGGGTTGAAAGAAGGGTGAAGAAGCCCGACAAAGGCAACCTTTCCGATGAACCGACATGGTCTGGCGGGATGCAGATGATTCGCTTCGCTGATGATAATGATGATGATGATGATGATGCTGATGATGATGATGATGATGATGATGATGATGATGATGAACTGATTCTTGGTGCATTACGAGCATTATGTGAATGATGCGCTGATGCGTTATGATGCGGGCGATGCGCTGATGCGTTACGGGCATGATGCATAGGATGAGCTGATGATGATGTCTTGAAATCCACTCAAGTCGCTCAAGTCATCGTCTTGGAGAGTTGAGTGGCCCAAGAGGTAAAAACAAAAAAAAAAGAACCTGTCAAACCCCCTCAGCATATTGCTTTCCGGGCAATACCCAACATGTAGGTCGTGGAAGGATCGGTTTTCCACTGGGGACCGCCAGCACAGGAGTTCATCAAGTAGAATTTTGCCGCATGGAACACCTCCAAAATCACAAGCGTGGTCATGTATCTTAAATTTTATACACTGAATACATGCATTATCATGAATTCTCATCATTTCTTGTGTCTATATATATATATATATAGTAATATAGTATACTACTTCTTTCTTCTAGAACCCACTGCCTTCAAATCCCACTGACGTGACTGACACGGTCCCACCTGGCGACCTCGGGCTGCTCTCGCATCGCACCGTCGCACAGCATCGTCTTCAAGATGGTGTGCCTGCTCGAACATCGCACTTTTGGCACGGCCCGACGGGCCCTGGAAACCGGCGAAAAAAACCAACTCTGTAGACAGACTCTTGAATCTTGAAACTCAAAAAACCAGTGTATGTAGATACACTGGTTTTAGAGATAGAGTTGTTCTATCCCCAAAAAGTCTTACACTGGTTTTAGAGTAGATGGCACAATCCGTGGACCCCCATCTGTCTAAGATATGTAGGGGTGCCCATCGAACCTCTGAATCCACCGTGCACCAAGTGCGCCAAACGATCTCTTCTGGACGAGATGCGCATCTTTGGATTGCATTTGAAGACGATCAAAGTCCCGGTGAGGCTGCCGTAGTCGCTGGTGCTTCTTGGGGACCCTGAGTGGATGAAGAAAATCGAGGAACCACTAGTTGGGGACCGCTTGGACCAGGATGTGTCACAAAAAGGGTTGATGCATTGCACTATGCGAGAGTGATGAATGTTTTATAATGTGTGCAATTTAGGCGAATCTAAAACCATGGTAGAAGAGCTCCTTGGAGAACATTGAACATCTTGGCGGTATGACTAGGCGTAGGAGATTCGACCATTTCAAGCGAATGGAAGAGGAATCTTCCTTTGATAGTGGTTTGGACTACTGACGACCTATCATTTGGATGTACGCGTTCGCACTGCACGTCGTATTGGTGTATTACACGTCGCTTTGGTGTTTCTGCAAACTTTGACTAAGACAACCCCTGGTCTGCAAATATGTACTTCAGCATGTAAATACTGTCTGTACCCAGGGGATCCAGGCAAACCACTATAGCTGGTAAGCAGTGGTTCCAAAGCCAAAAACCATCGACCAAACGAAACCTTGATTCCTTAAATATAAATGATTGTAGACTATTATAGTAGTGGTAACTGGGATCCACTACTGGCTGACATTCTTTTTGGACGACTCCCTTCGCTGAGTTTGACCGACCACTTGGGATGCTCAACCGTCACGCGATGTCACTGGCACATACATCTCCAAATCTTGGTACATCTCCCGTTTGGTGCTTGATTGTGTGGTTCTCCAAGGTTTGTGATGGTTTGTGTATAAGGGTTTGTGGTGTGTGCCCTAACTTGAGTATAGCATGTGTCTACATGTATACACTGTTATAGATAAAATCCATCTCCCCCATCTGCCCATCATCTCTTGTTGAGCGTCTTCTCCAGCTCCTGCAGCATCAAATCCGGGTCAAATGGTCGAACGAACTTAGTTAAAAGCTTCGTCTATCTTCATATTCATTCTCTTTGAAGGTGAACCTCCACTGTCAGTAGACTGTTCGACTGGTCTGAATGGTATTTGTGAATACAAACCTCCACAAACATGAAACTCCGCTCGAAGAGTTCATGCACAGCGACATGGGCGATGAGGGCGATGCAGGCGATGCAAAACGGTGGACATTCTCGACCGGATGAGACTGGTGTTTTCTTCACAGCGGAGGATGCTCCGTTTAATTTCTTTCCGATGAGAGAGTATCAGGACTTCTCCATGTCGCATCAGCCATTTTGTTGATCAACATCCACCTAATGTAGACTGTTGATTATAAATATAAACAAACAACATACATTATTCCCTCCCATGCATGAACACGTTTCAACATCCGAACGGGTGCTAACCAACAGTCTACATCCTACCGGCTGACCAGCCAAGTAGTCATACCTGCCATACTCTCAGACCTTGGGATCTCTCAGTTTCCACCTCCGCAGCTTGCTGCGTTTCCATTGGGATCGCTTTTGGATTCAGGATGCCTGGCATGTCCTCTCATGTCCCACCCATGGCGGGACCACACCGGTGTGGTAAACGGGCGTTTCACCAGGTGATGGCGGGACCGCTCCCTTCCACATCGACTGCAGACCGACGGGGACAGGTCGAAATGACGTGGACAGGATGACCCGAATGCGGGGGACAGGAGGGTCGAAATAAACACATCCAAAGGTGCGAAGCGGTAAGTTTTTTATAGTTCTTTCTAAGACCCATTGAGAACCCAAAATTCAAGACATCACTCCTCACATCTCGTGACCCTAACATCTTCTGCGTTCTTCCCGCCAGAAGTCCTGCAAATCCTTCAGCTCATGATCGATGCAAATCTTCTCTGGCACCCGCAACAGCTGATAGATGGCATCTGGGCGCTCTTGTACCTTCCATGGACAAGTGGGTGTGTTGTTTTAGTATGTTTTAATGTGTTTGTTTTCCATTGAGAGAGACACACAACCAATGGGTAGACTGTTCTAGTTCCCTTCGTCTTCGAGGTGGTTGAACTGGGAGTTTCTCCCTATTTGAGCTACGAGTACACACCCATTGTGGGACCCGCCGCTCAGAGCTGCCACATTCGTCGGATGTCTAGTTTCTCATGCAACTTCTCTGCACCTCGACGTTCATCCGGTTCTCATTCTCCTTCCAATAGTTCTGGTACACCTTGGCCAACTTGGTCAGAGAGAACTCCTGGCCAAACAGAAGTGGAAGAAGAACTTCCCCAAAACACCAAAGAGTGCACACCTCATTGCTTGAGTTGATGTGACAAAAGCATACAAAAGCTCAAAAACCTGATGAGTAACTGATCATCATCTCCCGGTTTCCCTCCCTCCCTCGCTCCCCCTTGTTCTCGTCGTAGTGGTTCAGGTTCCGCCGGAAGTGCTCCACTGCCCCGGTGCCGTTCAGATGTCGTAGTCGCGCCGCGATGCACTCCTCGTCTTCGGGTCGAACGGGAGCGCGGCACGGCACGGCCGCCGTGGCACGGCGGGGGGCCATGCGGGAACTGTTCGGTGGGTCGTTCGGCGGCAGGAACCGATGTGAAAACCACCAAGACCCAGCGCCCAAAACCATGTCATGGAAGAGTTACATGATGTTACATGCATCCGACCGACCGGAACGACTGACCCTATTTATGCCAGCAACTCTTCCAGTGCCATGGATGCTCTCCGTAAGTGAGGCAAGTGCAACACGATGCAGCAAGGGAGAGATGGACCATCGATGCAAACCGGGAGCCGAACCGTGGCCTTTAGTGCAGCCTGGGGGGCTCCCTAGCCTTCCAAGACCCAAAACATGGTTGACCAGAGTAAAAATGAGTAAAATCCTTAGGAAAACAAATGGTTGTTGGAGTTTCACAAACATGTGGAAGAAGCATATCCGGAAAATGTGTCGTCCTTCGGGGCTCCCCAGGTCGACGTGCTGACCGGCTCGGGCGACGTACAGAAGATTCGGAGCGAACAAAGGTGTCAAAGCTGGTTTCACCCCTTCCCAACCAGAAACGGTTTATGGCAAGTGAGATCCTATATAATACGTCTTTACTACTTTACAGTATTTTCTGAGTAGATGGCACAAACCGTCTTTTAGATGGGGATCCATATATATATATATACCACCTTTTGGTGATTGTGCCATCTACTCTCAATCCACTGTATATTACTTCAATTGACTTATATACAATATCGGAAGTGGGGGCTGAGGAAACATCCATATTGTTTCTGGTTAGGACTGGGTCCCAAAGCAGCCCTGCTCGCTGCTCGCCCGGTCCTGAACCACTTCAGCCCTTAGGAGCCGGTGGCGCGAGGTACGACACACGCGAGCCCACCGAGACTGGCATATTTCGCCGATCAGCTGAGGTGCTTGACCTGAGGTCCATGCAGGTGTTCTTCTTCCGTACATGGAGTGTCTAGGCACTGTTCTCTAGTTACCACAGGATGCTGTTCCGATTCAATTCCTGTGAAAAGGACTGGGGTACTTTCTCTCCATCAACCCACAAAGTTCAACATGTGCAATGCAGGTCGGCCAGCCGAAGGCTGCAGTTCCGCAAACATCATTCTGTCTTTTACGCATACTAAATACACCTATCATCTACCAGGGCCATCCAATGGGTGTCCAATAGACTACCCTACCCTACGTAAACAGGTCTCCATTGGGCACCCCTTGGAAGCACTAAGGTAGTATCATTCTGTATCCATGTCTTGCGGTTCAATCCTTTCGCCTCACCTGAGATTTAGCGGACCGAAGGATCGCAGAGCTGAGATGGTGTAGGAGATCTCCCCCGGTTACCTCCACCTCTCGTGCCCCTCATGCGACCCTCGTGTGCGGCTCTCCGGAAGGATCCAACGATCCAAGCAACGACTGATTCCACCTTCGCCGAACGTACGGGAACGTCGTACTCTTGCTGCTATAGTTATAGTTCATCAATGTTAATGTTACTATAAACCCACGACTACGAGTACCACTGCTACCACTCACGATGACTTCCAGTACCTATAGAAGTGACCGCACCCATCAATCTCTTGCACTCCCAAGCGGCATTGATTGATCGTCCTCGTCACCCCGCACCCCAGTGGCAGTCCCTCGTACATCCGTCTCGTGCTCATCCCACGCATTGCGCAGCTTCCTCTTCGGATCGAGCGGGAAAAAGCGGAACACTGGCGGAGTGTGTTGGACCCTAGTAGCGTCCTTGCTCCTAGTAGTAAGGCCAGGAGCTCCTAGTAGCTTCTTGTTCCTAGTAGCGATGCCACGAGCCCCTAGTAGCTTCTTGTTCCTACCAATTTCCCGGTTCCATCAGAGTTTCAATCATATCTAGACTCTTGATTCATAAACATAATACAACCCTGCCATGCGGAGTGTAAACCTCATTCATATGGGGGGCGTACCGGGGGGCGTTATTACTCTCAGTGTACTCAAGAGTCTACATGAAGCTGGAAAAGAGCATCCTAAACAGTGCTGAAGCAGGTGCACCTATAGTACAAACATGTTCCAAGGCCCATACTACACACTGCGGACACCTCCTCCCTGCCGACATCCGGCGTTCTCTCCCTGTCGCTTAAGATCTTAAGGTCGGGTTCTTCGAGGAAGTGGTGGACATCAGTCCAGATCCCACATGTCTGGCCAATCCACCACCTACTTGGGATTTGAGCCAATCCACCACCTACTTGGAACGTTTGTTGCCCAAAGTGGAGCATGAAAAGGCCGCCTTGGTGGTTTGCACGTGGTGCGTCTGCACGTGCCGGCCTGTTCCTGAAGAGAGCATCGTAAGTTGAGAAGGCACCTGCGACACCTACCACCCAAAGAAAATCCAACAGGTCTCATCCAGAAGCGACCAGGTCTCATCCTCTCGGCAGCCACCTGTTGGACTGAGTCCCCCAAATGTCCCCCAGAAAATATCTGAAAATCCCGTGGGCTCCTGGCCAATATCCTCAGAAGGTGTTTGGACCCCGTGTGACACCCCAAACCAACCCCAACCATGACCGAGACATCTAGGGATATACACAGCACTCAGCCAATCAGATTTCTACCTCATGCTGGGTTGGATGGCACAGAACGCGGAGCTCGCCCACACAAGGAATGTCTGGATTTCGTCCTGTCTTTCTCTTCCAACTCATTGGCCACATCCTCCTGTAACAGCTGACGACAAAGCTCAAGAACGTGATTGGAGAATCTTCCAGATGAGTTTGGAGGGTCTCACACAACACCTCCCGGTCTCTTTCTGAGGTGCCTTGCAGATCCCTTTCAATTTCACACAACACCTCCTCGGTCCGAACCAAAAACATCCGCGTGTTGGTTCCTTCCAGTCCACTGAGCCCTGGCGAGTCCGACCAGTCCCCAGACCTCGACCTGTCCAGAAGTCAGGTCCAACGTGTGTTTGAGTTCGGCCGAACAGAAACCACGCCAAGCGCCAAACGCATAACGCCACCTCCGCCCAGATCCCGTTTCTTTCGGTCGGTTTCGAGTCCATGGCGACCTGACGGAACGGTGGTGCCCTCGTGTCGTCCGAAAGCACGGAGACCGAGCCCGAGGGCTCCGACCGGGTGACCGGTCCGGGAGCGGCCGCAGTGGAGGGTTCTTCCGACTCCGGCGACGGCTCCTGGTGCCTGAAAAACCTCCGAATGTTGCTGCGACCGGGTGAGTTGATTCTGTGAGAGGTGTTTCTTTCTTACCGCCTGGCGGAAGAGCATCAGGCCAATCAGCTTTTTTCCGGCGAGAGAGAGTTTTGTGTTGTTTTCTTCCGCTTCCGTTGAGGTTTGCTCAAAACATGTCAAGAAGATTCAAGAAGTGTCGCTTGGAGTGTGCACTGGCCGCATCCCTATGTGAGTCATGTTGGTCATTTAGACATATTTAGACCAGTTTTGTTGTCTCTGAGCCTGAGTGCTGTACTAAAACACATGAGTCTCAGGGATTCGGAACCAAATTACCGAACCAAGCCATGAATACAAGGGACCATGACCCAGCCCACATCCAGTTGACCCGGAAACATCAATTCAGCTTACCAGTGTCCAAAAGAAACCACAAATGAAGCGTGGTATACGAACGGTTGATCCCGGATTTGGACGAATCGTGGCACGGTCCTTCACCCCAGCCCACCGTGCCCGAACGGTATGGACGGTGCCCCCTGTGTCAGGTCGGGTGTCGTGTCGGGCGTCGTCCTGGCACTTCAGCAGCGTGAGATTCAGCTCCTCGTTGGCCGCGAAGAAGCGTCCCACGAAGTCTAGCCTTGAGCTGCATCGCTGCCGTTTCCCCGTCCAGCTCCAGCGTCCCACGGGTTCTTGGGAGATGAAGAGCGTGCCCGATGCTTAGGAAGTGTGAAATTCCGGCTGGGTGAGATTTAGGGCGCAAAAGTGGTGGATGGAAAAGAAGCGAGCTTTTGGATAATCTAGGACCCCCAATTCAGTCACTAGCAGCCAGAGTCGGATGTCTTAGGACTTGCTCCCTACAAACTTTAGGGGCCAACTGGAAGGATGATGTACTGACCTGAACATCGGACATGTTGAAAGTAACTACGTCGCGTTCTGTTCGTGACACATCTTGACAAAAACTCACCAATTATTGAACAACTGCAATACCACAGGCAAGCAGTGATTTGTCTCAAAACCAAAACTGACAGAATTGATGATAGATCTGATGGCTTCTGCACACAAATGCACACAAAAACCGAACATGGCTTGTCCAACTTGCTGAACACCAGGATGACCTACCAGGATGACCTACCAGTCTCCCATGTCTTGAGCTACACACCCACCTCCTCCGCTCCCCTGCGGAAACTGCTGGGTGTCCCCCCTCGCTGGGTGTCCCTGGCAAAGGTTCCAGGCCGCGGCTGTTCACGAAGTACTCATGCTGGTCCTGTGGAAGTCTTGGACCACACCGGGATCACAAGTAGGCAAGGGGCCAGCTGCATGCACATAGACCACGAAAATACACCAAATCACTTAATGATACTAAATGTATGGTTGCAGTAGCCGTACTGCAGTAATCTGTAGTGTTCGTAGGTGCATCTTCATACAATATTCACAGCACCTGCGACGAATGGGTGCTGTGGCCTCTCCTCTCGTTTCCGCGTATTCCAAGGAGACGTTTGTTGCTCGGCTGGAAACACGGCTGCATAGGCGAGTTTCAAATCGAATGACGTCTTCATTTTGAATGAAATAACATGGATCCTTGGCCAAGCTAGACAAAGCCACTCCAACATGTTTAGAGAATCAATATGCAGCATAATATTGTTATACATATCATATACAGTACCATTATAATGTAGAGTGTATGTATACATATCACATATATATATATATATATACGCCTCCAAGAACCATCCAGAATCCATTCTGAATCTCTTCTGCTTAACCTCCAGGGGAGGTCCAGTCAAAATGCAAAATCGCAACACACACACACACACAAAAGGGCATCCCACACCCAAAGGCATGACACGTCTTTATCTCTTCAAGCCTAAGATGAAATATCTTCCCACTCAACCATGCGGTGTGGCAGAATGGTTTCATTCC